TTGTTGTACGATTAATCTGATAACAATAAATATTGATATGTATAGCTTAATATAAGCATGGTGCCATTAAAAATGTCTATAAATAAACCAGTTGATTCATTTATTGCATCAATACTATTTCCTTTATTGAACAACTAGCTATTTAGAGAAAATGTTAGTTCCGTGTCGCAGTAAGTGCTGGCACGAAAAAGATCCATCACTGCTCACAGGCCGAGTACAGATCAAAATTTGCAGCCCTCCAGCGGCAAGTGGTGGCATATCAGTATGAGTGAAAATTTCTCGAATGGACGTTTAACAATCAAACAAACAAATTCATCATTCTATCTGATTATGTTATCTTAAATTTCTAGAGCGCCCAATAACTAGTATCTGTTTTGAAACACTGATGCATACTATGGATTCAAATTTATGTGTTATGTAAATACATTCTGATCAATAGAATTTGTTTGATAGTGCTGTAATTTTCACTAGAATATTAGTTTGATATTACAACTAGAAAGCCCGAAGTTAATATTTCTGATTCAATCCGTCGGTTCGTAAAACTTCAATTAACCAACAGATTAGGAATATATGCTGTGAACATTAGTAACATTCTTAATCTAAAAAAAAGGTCAGTCTTGCATTCCACCATATTTCAAGTTGAACTTTACACCCTGCAATTCCGACAGATGTTCCCAAACTGTTGCTTCCGAACTTTTCAATTATAAATAAACCTTACAGTGCCTAGATATTGGACATCTACAACAAATTCCTCTTAAGTGTTCTTGCTCATCCTCTTCTTTCAGTTATAGTCCAGCTGGACACGTCGTTACAGGTGATGTAATTATAGTTGAAAATGACAACCTAGAGTAAACATGGTCTAACAACAAACTGTTGGAATTTCGATGGGCACTTATTGTGCTCGTTTGTTAGCATATCTGATTTTATATTCCTATGAAGCTGAATTTATGCAGAAATTTCTACATGTGAAGAAGCACTTGCTTTGACCTTCAACTGGGCATTATACAATTATGGACTCTTTCGGTGGTGAATATTAAGTGTTATGAACCGTTTGCGTTTTTATAGATTACATAAGGACTATAAAAAGACTATAAAATAATAAAATATATCGACGACGTTTTACAATTAACAATAGTTGTTGACTCAATATATCCTAGTGAACTCAAACGACACCACAAAGTCAGCCACATCTGTTTCATATTTGGATATTTAACTAACTATAGACGATAGGAACCAACTAACAACTAAACTGTATGATAAACGAGATGAATTCAGCTTTTCCATCGTCAACTTCCTTATTTATGTAGTAATATTCCTCTATCGCCTGCATATGGTATTTATGTCTCCCAACTTATTCGATACTCAAGAGTATGCTCTGAGAACGATCAAGCAGGTTAATGACAGATATGTTAATGCTACAGGGATTTTAACAACCTCGTTTAAAGTCAGCATTTCGTAATAGTCTTTATAATGACCTTGTTAGCAAATATAACCTATCATTGAATCTTACTTTTACTGACCTATTTCATATCAATTTTTAGGTCTTTGTTTTTATACTTAATTTGACTATTGAATATCCGTTCTACCTGTCAATACATAGGGCTCACGACGGGAGTGAACTGTTGACAGGGGATGCTTACTCCTCCTAGTCATCTGATCCCACCTCTAGAATCCCAGGGGTCAATGTTTTATGCTCTGTATACAGATTTGTATTGTTTGTAGGTTTTATAAAGATAGATCACTGTTATCGTCACCTTTTTCATTATGCTTAGTTTCCTGAAACGTTTACAAAACTTGTATCAATTCTTACATACAGAATATGGAATGTTTGTGCTTGTCAGTAGAAAAAAATATATATAAGTATTACAAAATAACCGAAAAATTACACGATAAAAAAATCAAATTTTCTGTTCTTTTTAAGTTGTGCAGTGAAGAATGTTTCACAACCAAATTTGAGCATTTCTTGTTTTTGCATTTGTAAATGCTATTAAATTTTGATACTAAATTCAAATATTTCCTCATTCAAGGTACAAAGTGATCGATTATGGCGCAATTGATATATAATTAAGTGCTGAAAAGAGAGGTTAATACATTTTCCCATAAGTTAAAGTTTGGCTTATTGAGCGTTAACATAATTGAATTATAAGGTGAGATGATTTAACTTTATAAATGTGTTAACTACATCATAAGTCATCTATACATCGATGAATGTTTTTTTGTTTTGTTATTTTTGTTTTTGTTTCTTTGTTTCTGGGATGAGGGGTGCACTGTATAAATACAGAGTTTATCGATTTTAATTAAAAAATTAACACTGGATTTCTGCCATTTACCCCTCGAAAAATGTTTGAAGGAAACAAAGTATTAAAGAACAGATATTGTTACTTACTTAAATGGAAAAACTACGAGGAGCATTTAAAAGTTCTGAGAATTGTTTGACAAAATATTAACTGTTTGACGGAATTAAATGAGTTTTATATTATTATAAAGAGATGGAAATTTTGCACTTATTTCGACGTCACTTTGTTATTTTTATGACGTTATAACTCTGAAAATGACGTCAGAATTCCGTGTGTTTAGTATACTGAAATGTCGCGTTTTTTGTCCACATGAGAACGCAATAGGGCTGTCAAATGCTTTTTTGAAAAGATTTTTCAAAGAAAATTCACATGGAGCTAGAGTAAGACTGTAAAAATAGTAATGTAAATAAGAATTCCATGTTTCGTTTTATGGTTGGTTTATAAAAACTTCCTGAATATAATTCCATATGACAGACTGCAGTCTATATGAACATTTTCAAAAATGGCAAGTGTATCCTTTAGCGTGCACACAAGTAATGAACAAAAGTTGAGTTTAAATATTTACTTCGCTGAAATTGTGTCTCTTGTTACGTCATATTTTATGGTCAATGGTCAGGAGTTTTACATCATAAAATTATAAAATGACGTACATCAAAGCTAAGTGTTTAATCATTTGCTCTCATAAAATTTAGAGAATACTTCGAATTTATTACAAATTAAGAAATATACAGTAGATTTCATTTTATTTTATTTAAGATCTAGGACAAATCTCCTTAACGATATGAAGGTATTACAGAACTCTGAACCATTTTAGTGTGCAGCGTATAAAGGGTCATTAAGGTTGTCCGATCCTCAGATTCTGAAAATCAGGTATTGAATAATTAAAAATGCTCACAAAAATGTATCTGAAATCTCAAAGTAATGTGAATTTACCCACGGTAATTGTTCAAACTTCTTCATTAAAATTAATCATATTATATTGGAAAAACTAGTTAATCTCAAATAAATTTTCAGGAAATGCGAATAAAGACACTTACTATACATTTTCTAATTGGAAATTGATCAACAAAAACATTTTAAGATAAAAAACTATAGGTATGCTGTGTCTAAATATTTCTATTAAACCTGGTATAAATTATTACTTTTCCTGTACTCTACAGCATTTCGTTATAATAATACGTGGGCTCTGTACCTTTTGACAGTCAACAAAACAAGAGAAAGTCTTTGTATAAAAGAAACATATAATAATTTATTGTATAAAAGTACATAAAACAAACGCGATATTTGGAACTTCCTGGTTTGGTAGGGAAGGTGTAAAAATAGAAGGTGCAGCACTCTGGATACGAAGGTGCAACTGTATGGAAATGAAGGGGCGTAGCAGACGTTGCTAAGGTAAACAGAACTACGGAAGGAGAGTATGCTGTAACTCTGGTAACTAGAGAAGGTGCACACTTTTACCAGAAAATATTCACCTTCTGTAATATAGAAGGGTTACTAAGCAACACCTTCTGGGCCATTATACTTGTAGGTTAACCTCCGAAATCTAACTGTCCTTTTGGTAAAATCTTGGTAGTCTGACACCTTCAGCGAGCCTCACTGTTTATATACACAGAAGAGCTAGGTCGCTATCCAATCAGCGAGCGGCTAACAAACGAAGTTCCGCGTGCGAAACTTCAAGCTGAAGTAATGAAACTTGGAGGGAAATCGAAGCACAATAGAGCTGTAAATATGGATTATGGATAAAATACCGCTTCTGATCGATGGTAAAACGTCTAATAAACACAGGTAAGCACTACTGTGCGTAATAACACATATTTAATGCCATAAGGATCGAGAACAACATCCCGAATGAATGTAAACAACACATTCTCATTGTGAAATGGCATGTTTCTACTTTCGCTTTCAAACAAAGCGAATGATTATAAATAAATTGGAATAAAACACATATTATCACTTGAAATACCGTATCTACACTTCGTAGTAATGTGTAAATACCCATGTTAAACTAAAATAATAATCATATGTGATAACAATGGATGGCACAAGGTACAGGCCCATGTAAATTCATAACAGTACTTCAATTATTTTATAATGCATAGTTTATGAAGTGTTTCCTATCATTGCAAAACACCATAAGTCATTTATAGTTTCATATCATGCTAATTGGCATTGGTATCTAAGGCTTAATTAAAGGAAAAGTCGATTTAAATCTGTATTTTAACATACCTTTATACAGTAAAAATACAAACGTTTTAAAAGACTGTTTCTAAAACTTCAAAGAACATTGAATTACATTGAGATGCATAAAATGAAAATTGTTGCATGAAAAGATTTCATATTTAAGCTTCATTTTGAGACTTTTTGAATTAAATAATATATTAAAGAAGTATTAAAGTAATGAATAGTAAATGAATATAACGTCTACATGTGTTTGTAAATGTTTCAAATAGGTAGTGGAAAATGTGAAGAAATAGGAACAAACAATGTATTTGTTGCTTCTTCTTCCATCATCAATTGTTTTTGCTGGAGCAAACCCAGACGATGAAGAAAAACAAGGTGCTTCGTACTGTCCGATCACCGAGTGCTTTTGCCCAGACAATTTTACAGCGGATTGCTCCTATAGGAAACTTTCTACTCTGCCTAGAGGACTCCCGAGGAGTATAAAAACTCTCGTTCTTTCCGGCAACGATTTTCCTGATTTGAAGGATAACGATTTCAAACCAGTAGCAAATCTGAAATTGAAAACTCTCATAATGAATTATTGCAACATTGAGAGAATATCAAAATTTTCTCTGCAAGCTCTCAGAAGTCTTGTGAATCTTGACCTATCTTATAACAGGATAACAGGAGATGTGCTTTTTTTTGCCACTCGGTATTTAGGTAAATCGGATATCAAAATTCTAAATGGGTCTGGGAATTATTTTAATGGATCGAGTGATCAATTTTCTGGATTTGGAAGTGAATGGTTCTTACAATTAAGAGAATTATATTTATCCAGAACAAATATTCAAGTATTTAATTTTTCATCACTTTCCACGCTAAAGAAATTAAAGAATTTGGATCTAAGCATCAACAAAATAACTCAGTTACATGTATCTAAGAAAACGGTGTTTCCAAAGTTACGTTATTTAAATCTGGAAAGAAATAGAATTTTAGATACAAGTTTCTTCCAGAATGGAGGGCACTGTCTGCAGAAACTTACACATTTAGACCTGTCACGTAACCCATTACTTACAATATTGTCTCGTTCATTTGTAAAACTAACGAGCTTGAGTGTTTTGATTATGGAACACCTCCAGGTCAAGCCAACTGTAGAAACAAGAGCTTTGGAATCGAAAAGTCTCCTTAAACTTTCTGTTGACAGTTTCTCAGTCTTCGAGGATACATTGTTTCAAAATTGTCCACTACTGCAGGAACTCCAGATCAAAAGGATGACTTTATTCAACACTAATTTAACAAAGATGTTGTCACCCTTAAAATGTTTGAAATCTTTATTAATTAGGGGGACCGGCATCAGTTATATTTCATCTTTAAAAGATTTGTCTGAGCTCCAAACACTTGATTGTACATTCAATCTTATCCAGAATCTTCGAAAAAATGACTTAGAAAATCTATGGAACTTGACAAGAATATTCTTTGGTTGGAATTCCATAACTACCGTTTCTAAATCCTCTTTTCCTGATTTTATCTGGAAAAAGAAAAACCTTCTTTTAGATTTATCAGTAAACCCCTTTCACTGTGACTGCGAACTTGAATGGTTTTCCGAATGGCTTAGAAACAACAGTCATAAAGTGGTTCATTACCCATATCGATATCTGTGCAAAACACCGTTAAAGTGGCAGAATCAATCTCTATCCAAAGTTGACTTTCGTATTTGTCATCAGTGGAATCAAAATATGATTTCTTCATTTATATTTTGTGGAATTCTCTCTACGCTTTCTTTTACATTTGTCCTTGCATGGCGGCTCCGATGGGACATAAAGTACTATATTCACACATGCAGACATAGGAAACCCAAAAGTTATATAAGACACCCAGCCGATGCGTATCAGTATGATGGTTTTGTTGCCTACAATACACATGACAGGAAATGGATCATGTCGGAGCTTGTCGAAAATTTAGAAAGTAGAAGACAGTACAAACTTTGTCTTCATGAAAGGGATATAATTCCCGGAGGAATCTTTGTTGACGAAATTCTTGATAACATTGAAGTCAGTAGGAAATTTATTCTTGTATTATCCCCGAATTTCATGAGCGATCAGTGGTGCCAATACGAAGCAACCCTCGCAAATCATGCCGTCGCTGACGGTAGAGTTGGAGAAGTAATTCTTATCGTTCTAGGAAAGCTCGAATCTCAGCATTTGACAAATTCCATGAAAGTTCTCCTGAAATCTATCTGCAGTATAGAATGGACAGAAAATAAAAATGGACAAAAATTATTTTGGTCCAGTATTACACAACTCATGGATAGATAAATTTACTATTACATTGTAGTAGTTCAGTGGAAAATTTTGTAAGAACATTGTTTAAAAACTGAGTGAAGAGACTGATTTGCATGCTTTGTTTTCATTTTTGTTACATTAAAAATAATTGTAATCTTTCATTTTCAAATTATCAAAGTCAGATGATATTTGTTAATTATGTTTCAAAATAACAATAAAGACCAGTTTAACATTATCATTTAAGGGGTCATTGATATTAAAACTGTTCTATTAAGGGTCATCTCGGGTGGAATTCAAGATTATAAAAATTACACCCATAGTTTATTTTAGATTTCATTGCAGCACTACTTATTATGAAGATTTCAAATATCCAAATGAAGGTTATTATACGATAAATACTTTTTAAAGAGATTTTTAAACCTTTTTGTCTGATTTTGGTTAAATGTTTTATTTCAAGTTTATTTTTGAGAGAATTGCAGAAATCTCAGTGTCAAATGATGGATATCATCTTTAGATATGTAAACAAAATGACAACACTTCATAATATTCAATATTATTTTTATTAGAAAAAAATCTTTTCTTCAAAAAAAGAATTACTGTGATTCTCTTCTTAAACTGTGCATGAATAATTTGGAAAATCAGTTATAAATAAATAAGGAATGTATGTAAATGAATAACAAGTGGCAAATTGAATGAAAAATGTTTATAGGAAATGAAAATTCCAAATTTAAAAATCATTGGAATAAAAATTCCATTTGCAAGAGTTATCTTTTCTAACTCCACTAAGGAATGTTTGAACATCTAAAATTCAGAATAAGACTAAAATTTATAGATTATATAATTATATATTTAAAGAATAAAGGCAAAGTACACAAAACAACAGGAGTACAGTACTGTGATAGGGCAAGTTAATTATTATTTATATCAACGGGGTTGTAGATTTCAACTCGAATTTCCTCTATAAGTACATGCTCTCAGTAGTAGAGTTTTGCTCCTTTCGCTAGGACATTGAATTACTTGTGTAGCGAAGATTTGACTGTCATTCTCTTTGGTCTCAACTTAAAAATAACTCTTCTTCGTTTATGATTCATAATGAATCTGTTACTTTGTTTTCATTGTTTACAACAAGGCATGTTTCGTCTATATTCAAAGCGTTTTAAAGATTTATATCATTAATAAACGAAACTGTACAATTCGTCCCCAGGAGAAAACGGACGATACAATGAAGGTTTCTTTTTCTGTGTAGTACGTAATCAGAAAGTGGTGTAATGAGCCTCCTTAAGGAAAAAAAATCGTCAGTAAAAAGATGAATAAATTGATAAAAAATTTTATTAATCAATTTTATTAATATTGATTGCGCCCGCGTGGCGCAGTGGTAGAGCGTCTAGAGTCGCGAAGTAAGAGTTGATCCTTACGTCGCGGCTTCGAATCCAACTGTGGGACGTGGAAACCAGTCCTTCGGATGAGTCCGTATAAACCGAGGTCCCGTGTCGCAGTAGGTGCTGGCACGAAAATGATCCCTCACTGCTCAATGGCCGTAAGTGCGGAGTATAGGACAAAATTTGCAGCTCTCCACCGGCAAGTGGTGGCGTCTCCATATGAGTGAAAAATTCTCGAGAGGGATATTAAACGACAAAAAACAAAAATAATACTGATTGGCCTGTATAGAGTTAGGGACTATTGCCTACTCAGAGTTCTCTGAAGAATTACTTACGTATTAGCCTTTATGCTTTGGTATCTTTTTTTCCCTAACTTCTACCTGGTTGGTTTTTTTGTTTTATACATTTATATCCCCCCTCTCATGTATAATTTGTTAATTTTTAAATGATGTATAGTGTAAGTAAAAATGTCATATCTTACTTATAGGTAAATTTATCTACCACTTTCTCTTTTTTAAATATTCGTAAAATTATATATATTATTAGCAACATAAAGTAACCCTTTCTTATATGTATCTTATTTTACCTAAATTATTTTCTTTTTATTTATTTTCACTAAATTACATTAAACACCATATGTAATCAACCACCAGAAATGATTGCCCCAGTCTCCTTGATTTGATAAGATGGTGATTATTTATGTAATTATCTATTTTTTATGTTTATAAATAAATGATTGTCGGACGTTGATAGGCTTGCCCGTCTCAAGTTTACTGATGTTGAGTAAGTAAAACTTAGATTTCAAGCTGGAAACATGACCAGAGGAAAGACAAACAAGAGGCTCAATAGCCTAAATGGTCACCTGAGTATAATACAACATTGTAAAGGATTCATTGGAACAAAAAAAAAGCAAAAAGCAAGTGAAATTAGATGATCAGGCATCAACTAAAGATTAATCTAGTACTCAGTATTAATAAATCTTAGAGTAGATCTATTTACCTGCCTGTACTTGCTCCCATTTGTCACTATCACCAGTCTGACTAAACAAAACAATAGTGCTTGAGCACTATTAGAAAACCAATTTTATTATATCTCTTTATTTATCAATTATTTACAATTCAACATGCCCATTGAAAATTGTGCTAATATAAAACTCAAAAGAGCCCTGTCCCAATACCAGAAACCCTTACTCTGGGTCCACAAATTTTACAATTTTAAAAGAAGCACCCTTGCTCACCATAACTATGCACTTAGTTTATCTGCTAGATATGCAGGAGCAGAGAAGAAGATTTTTCAAAGAATTAATGTATTTTAACAAAATAATCAATAGGGCCCCACCATTAACCTAGCACCTAACCTGACCAAGCGGCCATGAAATTAACAATTTTGGAACAAGCACCCTTGCTCATCATCATTATACAATTAGATTGTTTAATACACAGGAGCAGAGAAGAAGATTTTCAAAGAAATAATGCATTTCCACTACATAATCAATATCCCCCAACTCAAACCAGAACCCCTGACCCCGGGGCCATAAATCTCACAATTTTGGAAGAGACACTCTTACTCATCATAACCATTTACCTCATTTACCTGCTAAATATACTTGGGGAGAGAAGATTTAAAAAAAAAAGAAAAAAAAAGAATTTATGCATTTTCACTATATAACCAATGAAGCCCTGCACTGAAAGCAGAACTTTTGACCCTGGGGCCATGAATTTCATAATTTTGGTGAAGGGCTCAGTGCTTATTACAATCATGTCAACAGTTTGACTGCTTGATGTTCAATAGTAAAGAAGAAAATTTTTAAAGATTGCATTAATTTTGATGGTTTTAGCCCTATCCCTCAGGTCCCAGCGGGTGGGGGCAATGAATTTCATAATTTTTGTTCCCCTTTACTCAAAGATGCGACATGTCATAAATAGTTGAAATTGCTTCAGCGGTTGCAGAGAATAAGCTGCAAATGTTTAAATGTTAAAACACGATGCACACCGCACGACGATGGACAAAAACAGATAACAATAGGTCACCTGAGTGACTTAGGTGATCCAAAATAGCCAAATTTTATGATATGAAAAAATAATCCATGGATTGTTGGAAGAGAATGACAGTAGTACGAGTACATATAAAAGAGTTCATTTTTTGTGTAAATCAGAAACATATAAACGATAAAACGCTTGATATGAATTTAACCTATAACCCACTCCATCCCCACCACCCCACCCATCCCCATCCACCCACCCATAGATTTAATAAATTCTTGAATTATGCTGAGCTGCAATTAAGCTATTATACTTTCCAAAAATTCTATCTTTAGAAGCAAAATGTAAATCAGGTTAATTGAAAGATGAGGTACTTGATCTTTTGATTCCAAAGAGCGAAAAACACTACTGAACTTTAATTTGTCAACAAACGGAAATAAAATTCAGCAAATAAGCTCTTATGTCGTGAAGAATAATTGGTTGACAAGAGGGAAATAAATGTTTATCTGTTATAACAGCTGTTTTCTCATGGGGCTTAGTGCTTACATTTGGCTATGTGTATAAGATTCAAGATAATGACTATAATATTTATAAATCATAGTGTTTGAGTCCAGTGGCAAATTTTGCATATAAACAGCAGTGAAAGATAAACTTCTTTACAGTCTTTAATACAAATTGTATAGCCATTATTTTCATGCTGAGTTGTCTTCGGATTTTTCCGTCTACCCGTTCATGACAAAGGTAACACGGCAGGTGTGACCGGTCGACAGGGGATGCTTACTCCTTCATGGCACCCGATCCTTTGTCTGATATTTACGCTAATCACTATTTGTTTAATTGGAGTTTTGAGCGTGATTACTATTCGTTATCTTCACATTTTACGTATTTTAAAATTTTAGTTAAAATTATTGGAGTCAGAAAAATTGTATATTGAAAAGTATTTAACAAGATATACTTAAACAAAAAAATTGTACAAAATATCCTTGTACAAAATATAATTGGTTACTTAATGTAAAATATTTGCTATTTTCATTAGGGTATGGAGAAGCTTGGTATTGTCAAAATATTACAAAAAAAAAAAAAGTTCTTAAAAAATTTTCAAACAAAGATTAACTGTTTTCAACAGGATTGTGAGGCTTTTATTTTCTTCGTTACCAAAGAGTTCTGTGTATAGGTATCTAACAAATAAGCTGTGCATGCAATCCTACTTACTAAAACTAATTCCAACCAAGTATATGTAATTGATTGCAAAATATTACTAAGTGCACATTTATTAATGATTGAGAAGAGAAGATTTACTCATATTCCTAGAGAGAATAGATTATGGTTTTTTTCTGTCAGTTGGAGGTTGAAGATGAGTACCATTTTATTTTGAAATGTTCACTTTATCATGAGTACAGAAAATTGTATATTAAAAAGTATTATTGGTATAGACCTAGTATGTATAAACTTTTACAATTATTATCAACTGAAAATGTGAGTGAACTAAGTAATATAGATAAATTTCTCCAGAAAGCAGAAACACTTAGAGATTCACATTTGTAAACTAAGGATTTTTTTGGTTTAATGTTTGGTTGGAAAAATTGTACACAAATAATATTATGTGAAAACAAGTGTATGTAAATATTGTATGTATGCACATTCCTTCTGTGCTATGCATCCTGTATTTTGT